AGAAAGACATACATTACATTATGTTAACTGAGACCTAAAAGGAGAATCCCCTTAGGACAATAAATGTGTGAATTCTCCCTCTAAGCACAATGAAAACATTTCAGATAAGTGTAGCCCAGTTCCCGGCAGAAAGCTTCGTGTCATAATTTCCCAGAGCCATTTCTAAGCCTATAAAGATCTCTGATTTCCTTGCTTCCTTAGGTAAAATTACTTTCTTTTCGAATCTGTTTAGAATTTTCATCTTTCTTGATTTCCCACCTCTTCTGAAAAGCTAAAGTAAGGCTGTATCTTTTTAGAGAATGTCTCCATTCTCTGCTTACCTCAAATCATATAGTACAGGCATGAGATAGGGATGAGAAGGAGCTCTTGCCACACTTTTTCTTTGGCTTTCTGTAAATCTCAAGTGATCCAGTTACATTTAGTCATAGCAGTTATTCAGCATACCCTTTTTATTTAGCCTAGATTCTACTCTAGTAGAAAATAGTAAGTTAATCGCCATTACATTTTATTCCATACCCGCCTAATTTGGGTCAGTCAAATTCAAAATTAGTTTCCCTCAATCAATAGTTGAGTACTTCGTGGATGCCAGATCTTGTGCCAAGTACCAGGCATACAGTAGTGAACAAGCCAGATGTAACTCTGTCACCTTAGCATCCTTTGCTCACCCTCCTGAACCAGCAACTAGACCCTCTTCCTCTGATGCCACTAAAGTGCCAGATGTTCACCCTTTCCTGCTGTCCTGATTCATGAGTGATAAAGCTGCATTATACACATGTTCTAAGGAGTGCATAGTGACTCAGTAAATGGGACTTTGTAAAGTGAGCCATGTTTATCAGTGTAAAATCTGAGAGTAATTACAGCCACATTAAATTATGTGGACAAAAACTGGAAGAAGCTTGGTGCAGTAGTACACTCCTATAATCTAGCTACTTGGAGGTTGAAGCAGGAGGATTTGTTGGAGACCAGTCAGCTTAGCAAGACCCTGTCACAACATAAAAAAAGAGGGCTGGGTATGTGGTGCAGTGGTTAGAGCACTTAACCTAACATGTGAGGCCCTGGGTTCAATTTCCAGTACCAAAAAAGAAAGCTGGAAGGTGCTGCAGAAAAACAGACATGGGTAACCTATGAAGGTGTGGATTGTAGGTGAATCATTTATGTTGTTAGATTATTAATTTCATAACAAATTTTTCTAAAAATATATCTAGGATAAATCATACCAAAAAAGACTAGTAGAACGATATACTGAACTATGAGGTAAAAAATCCTACCTACAAAGAACCTTTTAGAATAGGGTACAGGGACAGAACCAGGCTCTAAAGCTTATATAGTTTGGAATTCCCTCTTTAAGGAAAAATGTACAAAATTAGGATCCCCAAATTAGGAAAATATTCATACAGGTGAGGAAAAGCTTTTTTGAGCTTTAAGATAAACCATTCAGATATCTGAGAGGAGAATGTTCAAAGGCTGAAGGAGTAATGAAGAAAAATTTCAGCCACTCTGTTTCATATGTCAAACTTTGAGTTTCTCTGCTATCTTTAAGAATTGCAACCACTGGTATTACACTCAGGGCCTTCACACTAAGCTCCAGTCCCAGCCCTTTTATTTTGAGACAGGGTATCAATTGCCCAGGTGGGGCTTGAACTTGAAATCTGCCTGCCTCTGCCTCTCAAAGTACCAGTATTACAGAGATGGATGACCATGCTCTGCTAAGAACTTTAACTTTCATCAGATTGAACTTTTAATTTCTCTAAGAGTCAAACTGGGATTTAACAAAATAGCTTGGGATACAAATTCACTAGTGCTTAATTTGGAATCAAATTGGACATTTTTCTTTTTCAGATTGGAGAGTTTTTACCTGAGATCGGTCTTGCAGGCAGTCACATTAAAAAAAAAAAAAAAAAAAAATCTTTACAGACATATTAGTCAAAAGAGTACTGTTTATTTTTCAAATAGTTGTTAGTCTGTCCTAAGGATGAAGATCCTTTTAAGGACTCTTGATGCAGAAAACAAGCTACAAAAAGCAACAAACTTTAAGGCAACATTTATATTCCACTGTTTATACTCCTTTAAGATTAGTTGAAAATTTGTTTGAAAACAAATTAAAAATTTATGACATGCCTTGAAGAGAGAAAAGTAAAACTTGATTCATATAAATATTTCTCAGTGCCATACTTTCCTACACTGCTGATATATAAAGCCACATCCAATGCAGGAAACATTGATTGTCCTTGATTTGGAAAGGCAAAGATAAGAGTCATCTTTCCCAGTGCTACCAGAATTCTCTTTATTTAATAAGAACCTGACTATGCTCTTCCTCTATAAAAAATGAGCAAGGGCTTTGTAACAGAGAGAAAACTGCTTATAAACATGAGAAAAGTTCAGAAACAAACAACTGATAGATAACATGCTACAACGCGGAAAAACCTCAGAAGCATGCTAAATGATAGAAACCAGAGGCAAAAGACTTTATATTCTATGTCTCTGTTTAGATGAGGTAACTAGAAAGGGCAAACTTCATAGAAACAAAAATAAAATAGTGGTTTTCTAGGACCAGGAGTAAGAACATAGATTATCTGTAAACGGGGATGGAGAAACTTTCTAGAGTAAAGAAACCTTCTAAAAGTGGATTGTGGTGTTAGTTGTACACTTACATTTCAATTTATGGTGTATAAATTATCCCTCAGAGTTGTTTTGTTTCTTTAAGTTCAATCTCATTAGTGGAAAAGGAAAAGTAATATAATTTGCTTTCTACTTGGTAAATCTACTACTACTACTGCTACTATGACTACTACTACTAATGTCCTGACAAAAGTGTGGAAAATGAACACTAAGACCCAAGTGGTAGATGTAAAAGGTAGACTTTCTGAAGGTTATTTGGAGATATTACCTCCACAAACCTCAACATGCTCATAATGTTTGACTCACTTTCACAAGTAAATCCTAATGAAGTAATTGCACAAATATCTTCACACACAGATGTTCATCTCTTCACTTTTTGTAATGAAAGAATTAGAAACTACCTAAATGTTCAATAATAGAAAATAAATTATGAAGTATCCGTCTCAGAGAATACTGTGTAATTATTTAAAATGATATAGATGTATGTATGTAATAAATGTCAAATCGATGTTTATAAGTGAGGATACAAATACATATGTATAGAATTAAAAGCATTTGTTTACACATATGCATGGAAAAGGGCTGTAAATTTAACATATATGATCATGAGTTACCTCTGGGCACATTTTTTATTGTTGTGTTTATATTATCTAAAGTTTTAAAGTAAAATGGTTCATGTTTTATGAAGGATCAATAAAAGGTTGTTTTAAAAACTATCTTTCATTGACTTCAATATAATGATATGGATCCATATGGTATTAATAACAAAAATTATTTGTAGTCACACAATAATGATTGTAGTTTCAGTGTTTGACAAGAAAGTTACTGCAGGCCCAGGGATTTAGCTCAGTGGTTCTTCCTTCTGCTTCACAAGCTTTTATAACTTTATAATTACTGGCTATGTATATTTCCCCATTAGATTGGGAACTTTTTTTTTCTGCACAGACTTTAATGCATTACAGCAGAAGATATGCCTGCAATAAATTTTAGTTGAGTAAGTGCACAGAAAAAGACCAAGTCTTTACCCCTCAGGGTCTTGTAGTCTAACACATGATTAGACAGACCTATAATAAAAGATATGAATGAACTCATAGAACAGTGATGAGTTTACACTCGGTGATTATGAATTATTTCCCAATTTAAGATCTGTGTGAATTCGTCTTATGTGACAAGTTGAGGAAAAAAAGGAAGAAAAGTCTTGAGTTCATCCTGTAGAAAATGGGGGTGACTCACCATTGTACCCCAAGCCTAAGCTCCCCAGGTATCTCTGCCATCTCAACTTCCTTTTCATCTCATTGTCAAAAGCCATTGATAAATGTCCTTGTAAAGATGCTGAGTTGGCACTTTCATCTCCCGTCAAAGAGTTTGCTGACCTGGCCATGTGTGGGTATGGATAGTAAGAAAAAGTGCTGGATGAAGCCTAGAAGAACTGGTTTCTTGTCCTGGCTTTGTCATAGACAAGTTGAATAGACTGGATATGAAGCCATTTCTTTATCCTGTTTCTTTTGCATATTACAAGGGTCATAAGAATAATTCCTCTCTTACCTTACTCAAGAATTGAGATAATTTAAAACATACTGTATGGTAAAGCATTTTATTAAACTTAGACTCAGTTTTAGGATTATGTTATTTTCTGAAAACAATTCCTAAAAAAGAGCCAGACCACTTCTCCCAAGGGACTTTATTGGCTTGAAAAGCAAGACAGTGAGTTCCTCAAGAAGTCTTATCTCCCTGTATGGTCAGATCACTTGTTTTCAAGTGAATGTAAGTAGCAAGCCTTCTGGAAAATCAGAAGAACACAAAACATTGGTGCATTTCATTACATCACACAAATAGAACTATTTAGGTGTTTTATTAGAAACACCATGATTCTGTCATATACCTGCCAATAGAAATAATGGAGATACCCTACTCCCCACTGCTTACCTCAGTCTAGGCCCAAAATAAAAGGATTTGAGTTCTTACTGTAGTGCCTATGGTTCTCCAGAAGAGAGGCAATGGGAAAAAAGGATTTAGAGAAGGGAGGGCCGTGAAGAAACATTTATTGACTTATGATTGTGGCATCTGACAAGTCCAGATTCTGCAGGATAAACTGGTACACTGCAGACAAAGGAAAGAGCAGACTTGCACTCAACTGTAAAGGCAGTCTGTGGCAGGAGTCTCCTGTGGAGGACCTCAGTTTTTTGTTTTTTTTTTTTCTTAAGGAATTCAACTGATTTAAACAACCAACTTACAGAGTAATCCACTCTATTCAAAATCTCATTTAAATGTGATTACATCAAAAACCTTCATGGCAATGTCCAGATGTGTTTGATCAAATGTCTAGGTGCCAGAATCTTACATAGTTGATATGAAATTCACCATCACACTCTCCAACTTACAAACCATAGCAGCAGTTGGAAATGGTTTCCTCTTGTGTCAGCTATCCAGGAGTGTCCTGAGGCATACAAATGTCCAAGTGCCAGGCATGTGTTTCCAGGGTGATAACCTATCAGGAAATAAGAGCATCTCTGAATCACTAACGGGCAGTTTGCATGGGCCAAATGGCCCTAGGACCCAGAGTACAGTGATTCATTGGACCCCTTGTGAGGCTACTGCGCAGGCACAGCAGAAAACCATGCAGTCACACAGCAGTTCTTATCCTGCCCATTGGGCCCAGCACCTCCCCAGCCTTTGAATGACCTGAAAGGCAGGTATACGTAACAACCCCCTTGGAGATTGGAGTTCACTGAGCCTCTCCTTTCTCCCCCTCCCCCAGCAGCCTCCCCCTTCCCACTTTCAGATTTCCCCAAACACACTGCTCAAGGGGAACACATGGCACCCTTTCTTGTAAAAAAGAAAAAAAGAAGAAAAGTAAAAATTCAGAAAGTCATTAAGAGAAAAAAACCTATAATTCTCTTACACTAATATATTAGTGTTCAGAAGGAAAAATACATTGAAAATTCCTTTACCATAAGTTAGTACTCAAATGTTTGACTTTTTAAATGAGTAGATGACTGTATGCTACTTAATTATTTAATGAGGCCCCTGCACATTTTTTCCAGCTATTTTGATTATGATTTTTGTTATAAAATTTTGTAGGCATGTTTTTACTATAGCTATTCACATTAAATAAATTCTAAGAAGCAGAGTTGGTGGGCTAAAGGCTATAAATATTGCTAAAGCAAAAAGAATTGCTAAAGCTTTTGATAAATATGGTGAAATTATCTTTCTGAGAATTATACTAACTTGTACTGGCACCATTGGTGCAAATGGATCCTGTATTTAAAACATAGTCACTTATTAAAATGGTATCTTCATGTTTCAGTTTCCACTTCTTGAACTGTAAGATTGATCATTTTAAGGTATCCTTTAATTGTTGTACAACAGCCAAGTCTGAATCACATCAGACAGCCCTGCATCCTGATTTGAAATCTTGGTGAGCGTATATTTTGTTGTTTTTCTAAATCTTTTAAAAAATAGTTGTGTTGGATCCTTTATTTCTGGTGACTTTTTTCCTGATAGCTGCAGCATGAATAATGCCTGATGGTTAATCAGATTTAGCCTGTTGCAGAAATTGGTTTATGTTATCAAGTTAACTCGAGAGAATTCTCTGAGAACAAAGGTAAGAGTTGGAGAAATGCCAATGTGTCTCAATCCTGACCGACTTCCCATAGGTCCAGTCTTGCACTGAGAGCAGTTTCACCATCTTTTCCATAGTCCCCAGCTATATGGAAATTGCCTGCTGTTACTACTCTAAATATTGTGGTTATTTTATCATTATCACCTATGTTTTGTCAGACACAGATGAACACTCAAAATATTTATTGATGTAATACATAAAGTTTCTGATGTGTTTGTTTAAAAAAAAACTGCCATCAAAATAGATGAATAGATATTTTCATCAACTCTAAGGGTAACAGCTGTTTTAAATTTCAGAGGCCTCATTGAAGCGACATGGAAAAAACAGGTTTGATTCTATAAAAATATTAAGCTCTATAGATCCAAAAGGTCACTAAATTAAAAGTGAAGTATCAAACTGAGAAAATATTTGCTAGATGCCTATGATATATTAATATAGAAATAAAAAGCGATCTGAGATACTCCAGTACAAAAATGGCAAAAGAACGTAAAATAGGCAATTCACAAATGAAAACTACAAATGACTGACAGCTACGGAAAAACAGAAACCATTTTCTAACAACCGCTAGTATCAAAAGAAAAAAAAAAAAAAACATGGTACTTATTGCTTATGAGGGCACAGGGAGCTGGGCTCACTCCTTACTTGGCTTTAGATCTTCAAAGCCAAGTTGTTTGTTTGTTTGTTTGGGGTACTGGAGACCAAACTCAGGACCTTGCACTTGAAAAGCAGGTGTGGTGCCACTGAGCTAAATCGCCGGCCCTCAAAGCTAGGTTTTTAAAAGTCAGAGCTAGGTAAGGACTCAATTTTCTGTGCATTTTCACTGTTCAGACCATACTTTAGAAATTGTGCGTAACAAAACCCCTCAGTGCCACTAACAGTGGGAGAGGGCTAAGAAGAGTACAAAGAACTGAAAACTTCCATAGGTTCATATTAAAGTATTTCATTATGAATACATAGAAATCAAATAAAATTTATTAGTGGAGCTTTGTTTTTGTTTTTGCTGTACTGAAGATTGAATCCAGGGCTTTCACACTGATCTACATTCCCTACCCAGCCCTTTTTAAAAATGCTTTTATTGGACCAGGAATTTAACTCGTGGTGCCATTGCCTGCCTCACAAGCAAAAGGTCACGAGTTCGATCCCCAGTACCCCCCCAAAAAAAGCTTTTATTTTCAAACAGGGTCTCACTAAGTCACTAAGTTGCTTGGGCTAGCTAGAATCTCTCAATTCTGCCCCAGCCTCTCAGAGGGTTGGGATTACTGGTGTGCACTGTGCTCTGTTGAGAGTGTTTTCTACATATGACTCATCAGCACTTTATCTCAGTCTTCCATGCCTTCCTTAATAAGGATTGTCTATGACTATAAATAATGATAAATTAATTGTATCAGTGGTATTGTTTATACTGGGTATTGATTTCCCTGAGGTACAGAATGATAGAAAGAAGGATCGACTTTTGTCATGTGTAGCCATATAACAGGAATAAAAATTTACTATTTCAAACTCTCTTTCCTCTTTCAAGACTATCAGTTTAGTCTGAGTAGATTTTTTTTCTTGAGACCAGCTCTCATATATTGCTCAGGCTGGCCTTGAACTCTTTTTTTATTATTATTAAATAATTGAATTTACTGGTACATTTTAGGAATATAGTACAGTTACATTGATTGTTGGGATCTTGTACCTCTACATGGCAGGTCTTGGTTCTCATTTTTTCCCCTTGTCCCTGCCCTCCCTTCACCCCCTCCTCCCCTCCCCATTTACAAACATTTTATTTCCATCTTTTCATTTTCTCACATTTTTTTCTTTGCCCTTATTACCCTTCCCCTACCCATCCCACCTTCCCTACACCTTTAGCCCCTTGCTTCCCATTTCACAATGTCAGTTATCTCATTAGGATTTTATGTACTATTGCATTTGAACTCTTAATTGATCTTCTGCCCAGCCTTCTGAGTAGCTGAGACTATAGATGTGCAATACCATGCCTTGCTCTGAACAGAGCGATTTTATCATGATTAGCACAGCCCTCAAAACAGAAAATTACAAATCATATCAGCTTCAGAATTCTCTTTTCTTTTTACTTGCCTTTCTTTTTCTCCCCCTTTCTAATCACAAACCACAAACGTAAATTTCTGTAAAAGCAAAGTGTCACATCACAAAAGGTTAATCTAGCTTCATTATTTTAGTCTCTCATTATTTTCCCTGCATGGAGGATAGATGCTTTGTTGTTGTTGAATCAGGACTATAATTTGCTTGCATCTGACAGGACAATAGGCCATATTCTTCTCCTTTCCACACACAGAGCTACACTGACAACACCAAGAATTGCCAGAGACAGAGGCAGTATTTGGCTCAGCCAGTGCTGAATTCAGCCCGATTCTAAGAAGTAAAATGGTCAAGTTAACATCTAATGAAGAACAAACCAGCTGGTGGATTTGGAAGTTTCCCTTGAAACTTTCCTTTCAAATTTCCAGCCCAGTGTATGAAGTAATTCCAGGCTCTAATGAGCCTCAGAGGCCTCTCTGACTAAAAAAGCAAAATGAATGTGTGTTGGATCTAAGACTTTGTGTGCCAGTAAGTAATTTATTGTTATCTTCCACATTCTAGTTCTCCCTCTCTGATTTATAGGTTCTCTGTTTTCAGACTTTTCTGACATTCACATTTTCCCCACAAAGTGTCCCTGAAAAAATGAGTAAAAAATTCCATACCTGCGTTCTGCATAAGGAAGCTGGGGACCCAGAAAGGTGATCAAATTTACTATTCTCACAACACGGAACTCTGGGTTCTCCAGTGGTTATGGAAATTTAGTCAAAATGGAAGTGAAACTTCCTCTTCCTTAGGTTGTCTTTCCTGTTTGTTTAAAAATGAAATATTTTCCATTGCATCAGTTCCTAGGAGACTAATTTTTTTGACACCTGAGAATTTGGATTCCTCTATAATTGGAATCAGTTTTGGTCAGGATACTCCTGCCATTCAGTTAGAAAGAGCCTCTTAGGCCCCTTCTCTCCCCAGGAGCACAGCATTCTTCTGACTGACTGAGAAGATAACTGTTGGTAGATTTTACCAGTACAGTTTTTACCAAGAGGGTTTAGGGACTGATCTTTCTCTCTCTCTCTGTTTCTTTCTTTCTTTCTTTTTGAACTCAGAACCTTGAGCTTGCCAGGAAGGCACAGTGCCACTGAGCTACATGCCCAGCTGAGACTGATCATTTTAATCACTGGCTCTGGAGAATGCTGTCTTTAAAACCATGTATTCATTTATAGTTTTTAGTAAATTGGCTGGGGGGTGGATACTGGAGGTTGAACCCAGGGACACTCTACTACTGAGCCCTTTTTAATTTTGAGACAAGTTCTCCCTAAATTGCCTAGGCTGGACTTGAACTTATAATTCTCCTGCCTCAACCTCTCAGAGTGCTGGGATTATAGGCATGCACAACTACTTACATAGTTGATTTAATAATCAGGGTCAAGGACTAGCAATGTAGCTTTGTGGTAGTATGTGTACTTCATGGGCAAGGGCCTGGGTTTGATCCACAGCACCAGGAAGAAAAATTAAGGTCTATTACATTATTCTATCTGGAATTTACTGTTGGATATTATATGACTTATGAGCCAAACTTTTTCCCGATACTTAATATGAGATGAAAAACAGCACTAGGTACGAGAAGAGTAAAGAGAGTAGCTAAAGTCAATACCCAGGTTGCAAAAAATTTAAAGATAATGGAAAAAATCAGTGTAATCATCTTTTACCACTGTGACCTCTGGTGCAGTTCCTGGTGCTTGAGCTGAACTCTCCTTGTATCCCAGGCTCTTAGAGGCCCCCTTCAAGGAGGCCTGGGAATCTTCACAATCCCAGCCTGTTCAGTGGAGTCAGGTAGGACAGGGATTCCTGCCTGAGATCCAGGCTCTTTCTCCTTAGTACTGGAAATTGAACCCAATGCCCTTGCACTGAGCTACATCCCCAGCTCTTTTCTCATTTTTTATTTTGAGACAGGGCCTTGTTAAATTGCTAAATTTTCCAGGATGGGTTTGAACTTGTGATCCTCCTGCCTCAGCCTTCCAGAATGCTGGGATTATAGGCATGCACCACCAAGCCAAACAGCCCCTTCTTCTTGTAACTCCCTTTCTTCTACTAAAACAGATGGCCCCATCCTCCCTGTAAGAGGAGCCTTGTGTTTCTATACAATGTGAAAAATCAGAATTCTTCATTAACTATAGGCAACTCCTTAAAATGCTTTTAGTATCAGTTCTCAAAAAGATATGCCCTACCACCACAAAGGTGATGTTTCTTTTTGTCTTTGGTTGGATTCTTCCAGAATTAGATTCTGAGAAAAGGACCAGAATACAAGTAAACTATTAGGAAGGCATCTCAGTAGGGGAATGGGGGCCTGAGATCAGGAAGGAAAGGCAGCCCACAGACAGGATGCATTCATGACCCAGTTATTATTACTAGGGGGGCTGGGAGACCACTGAGAGACAGCATAGACCATTCCTTAGAGTTACACTACTGGAGAGTTTTTTGTTTTTCATAATTTTCATCTGTCCTCAGTTGACCTCTGCTCCTGAAGGCATAGATTACACAGCAGCTTCCAACTGTCATATGTGCAAGCCCAGCCAGAGCAAGCCTTTTAGGCACAGTGGCAGAAGCCACCACTTTAAGATAACAGTGAGTACCGAGAAGACATGGGTGGGGCACTAAAGACATTTGCTGTACTTTCCTTCTGCAACTTCTGAACTCTGGATTTGAAATTATATCACTGACTCTACCCTTCTATAGAAAGCAGGAAGACCTATGATTTACCTCAGCCTTTAAATGGAAAAAGGAAGGACCTTCTTCCCCCAAAGGGCTACAGTCTACTTTTTCCATGGGTGGTTAGATCACTTCCAACAATCCTTGTCTCAAACACATGGAAGAGATCACTAAAACACATCATGGTGATAAAATGCATACACTTAACATGAAAATTTCACACCACTACCATGAAATGTGTAGTAAATGACTTAGAGAGAGACTGAACTCTGATCAATTGGCAGTGACTGCACAAAGCACTGTGTTGAAAATTCTAAGGTTCAAGGAAAAAGAGTAGGTTGGTTACAGATTAGATCTACTAAATACCAATCTATGAGGACTATGTCTTATTCTGCTTCTTGGTGCTATATTTATTTTGATTCACACATCTGGAATCTGGAAGGTCAGTCAGCAATAGCTAGTGAGGACCATGTGCTGCTTCAATTATTGGTAGAGAAACAGAAGGGGTAGTTGGATGCATATAAAAGGGACAAAACATAAAGGATGACCCCATTTTATAATACATAATCTCTCAAGTTAATTAACCCAGTGCTAAAGTGTGAGAACTCATTCTGTTGAAAAAGGTATCGATCCCTCTAAACAACCTAGTCAGCTTTTTATTTTTTGGTGGCTGGAGTAGAAGCCAGGGCCCCTGCAGGTACTCATTGCTTTACCAGTGAGCTCTACCTGTAGCTCCCTAATTTACCTCTTAAAGGCTCCATCTTTCTCCACCACCACAATGGCAATTCAATTTCAACATTAGTTTTAGCTTTGGCAAAAAGTTACATTAGGATTTTCAAATGTCATTTGATGGAAAGTCTATCATTATTCTTGCATTTTTAAATTTTTTAATTCAAAACTTAAAATTTCCATATTTTTATCAGAATTAATCACAAAAAGAAAACAGGATAACAAGTGTAGGACTCTGAGAAAATACATCAAATTTTGTAACTCACTTTTTAAATGATTCAAATAAAGTTTTGAAAATTCAAAAAAAGTCCATGTTTTTATAAAATGTTAATAGAAGATATTATGTTTAATAATAGTCTTAGCAGAATTAAAAGCTGCCAACCACTTCTGAAGGTCTCCTTTTTGTGAGAGGAGTCCTGAAATCCTAAGCTCTGGAAGATACTAATCATAAGCCCACATGAAATATCTTTTCTGTGACACTGGGACTTATACAAACTGAACGTTTTAAAACCAGGGTGTGACCAGTCCTTGGCAGGATCAACCAGACTAACATGCTTTGAAGTGAAAGCAGAAGCACCAGTTTCTCACATAGCATTCTCCGGGGTCAGGCTGGTTAATCCCTGACCCCTGATGCAGGGCCTGTTCTTCATCTGTCCACCAGCATTTCTCTGGAAATTCCTAAACTTGTGCCAGGCAGTGGGCTTTGTGATGCCCCCTCTTCCCTGAGGGAGAATAGAGCCTATGCAAGTTCTCAGCCAAATCATTGACCTCTTCCTACCTCCTCTAGAGGACCAAACCTCAGAGGAGAGTCTGCCTTTATAGGAAGAAGGGCTGCCCCTGTTGGTGATGTTGTTTTAACTCCCTTGAGGTCAGAATTTCACTCTGTTGTGAAGAGTAATTGCAAAGTATCCCCATCATTCCACAGATATATTCCTTCTTTTTTAAAATGCTATTGCTTAAAATGCATAAAGGTGAAATTCAAGGCCATTCATAATTTTAAATTGAAAAACCAAAGACACTGCTAATAACAAATGAGGAACAGAACTTTGGACATATGTACCAGTAAAAGATGTAGGTGGGTAAGCTGAGAATGTTCTCACCAAAAGAAATACTGAAAGCTCCAGGTAATTTTTGAAGGAAATTGAACAGGAGCACTCACAATATCACATCAATCACATACTTCACAGGCACTGTGAAAATAAATTCAGTAGCTTTCAAAACTGAGATGAAGATGAGATCATCTTACCTCTACTTACATACATAGATGCGATATGAAAGAGGATGTTGCTCCCTACATTCTCAGACAAGTTGTTCTCTTGAAAAGCACCCTTATTTTCTGCAAATACCACTTAGGTGAACTCTAGTCCAGGGGCTGTGTGCCAGGAAGGAGCAGTAGATAGGAAGCCAAGACCTAACTGACTCATCCACTTTAGTATTGACAGGCATATTCATTTGCTTGGGCTGTCGTCTCAAAATACCCTGCTTTGGGTGGCTTCAACAACGGAAATACATTGTCTCACAGTTCTGACAGCCAGACATTGGTAGGGAGTGCTTCCTTCTGAGGACTGTGAGGGAAGGATCTGTTCCTTCTTTGGCTCCTAGATGCCTATCTGTATTCAGTGGTGCTGTCTGTCTGTCCAAATTTTCTCTTCTTTTAAGGACTCCAGTGCTAATGGGTGAGGGCCCAGCCCAGTGAGCTCATTTTACTTATCTCCATAAAGTCCTTATCTCCAAGCAAAGTCACATCCCAAAGTACTCAGTATTAGGGCTTCAATATATGAACTTTGGGGAGATACATTTAACCTGTAATACCAGACAGCCTCTACGGCTTTGGTTTCCTGATCTTTAGAAGAGAATGTTGGCCTGACTGCTCCTAAGGGCTTTTCAGATCCCAGTGTTCCAAGGTTTGTTCAATCCTCCTGAAGCTGCCAAGCCTGGCTCTGCTATCCACAAGGCTATAAATACAAGAATTTTCCTTCCTTGGTCCTGCCAGCCATTCTTGGAGTGGGAAATGAGTGAGGAAATGCTAAAAAAAAGTGGAGTTTTCCTTTAACCTTTTGTCACTTGTGTGAGTCCTGTAAGAGGACAAACAATCAGGGTGTGGTGACATAGGGATCTTGACATCCTAAAGCAAACAGGCAAATTCAAGGACATTTGTTATTTCCCAAAGCCAAGGTTTTATGGGCTGACTATGGATGACAAACTGGTTCCAGAAGAGCTGCAATGTTTTGTTGTTCCTGCCAATGCATTAGCAGCAGCACAGTTCCCAGGCCATCATCCAGCCAGCCTGACAGCAGCTCCCCAG